CCCTTGTTCCTGCCCCAAAAAAAAAAAGGGGGGGGGGGGCTCGCTGTTTCAACCACTACTGACTGTATTTTATGCCGAGCAGCAGTCTACAGTGGGTCCTGAATTACCATGCAGTTTCCAGAACATTCAGACCACAGCAGCACAGCAATGGACATAATGAAGCTGCCCCTCTTCAACAGCTCATCTTCCATACTTGACAGTAAGTCTCATCACAAGCTGGCCACCGCATGACTTAACAGGATGAAGCCTGAACTTCCAACAATCTGGCTTCAACCTACTCCTTCAATCTGTTTTCAGACACTAACCCAGAGAATGGCTTCTCCCCACAGGCTTCCTCCATGGCCCCTTGTATCATGCTGCCCTTCTTAACCATTCCTACATGCTTCTGAGTGGGTTGCTGGAAGTTATCTTCTTCAGAAATACATGTGTATATAATTATACATGTAATTGCAGGGATTCCTTTAGTCAGTTCACAGACCCTAGAGGTGGGGACTCTTTAGTGAAAACCTGCCTTGTCGTGCCAATGTTCTACTAATAGAAAATCTGCCATCTTGAAAGACATGACATAACCATCTTAAGTAACACACAGGCTAGTGGGACACAGGTGCCATACTGGCAATAACTGTCAGGAGAGACTCAAACCCAGTCCCCACTGACAAGATCAGCCTCATGCTTGGGCTTGTGTCATCCTGATGTCACACAGAGACAGACAGACAGACACACACACACACACATACACACACACACACACACAACTCTCCTGCCCCCTCTTCTCAAAGCAATGCTGTATCTAATCTCTTGACAGGAAGAGAGAGTCCAAATGCCAGGGCAGCCAGCCCAGGGACCCCACAAGGAAAAAAACCTGCCTCCTGAGTTCCCAGCCTCAGAAGGGTTGTCGGAGCCTGAAGGCATATCAGCTCAAAGCTCCTCGCACAGAGCATGGCCCAGAGCACGGCACAGATCACTGGTTCACAGGGCTGTGACCTAAGGGTAGTCCCAGCCACACCCTGACTGACTCTTCCCCAAGACCAGACAGTCTGCAGTTCTGGAGCACCTGTCTCCAAAAAATAACCAGACCCACAGATCCAACTAACTAGTAACAAGCAGGGGATGAGCAAAATACTTCTTCCTTCCACCTGCCCTGGACACACACACCCAACAGCCTCCCACAACGCCTTGTGGGATCAAGTTTTGGAATGAAGTCACAAATTCCCAAACACCCTACAGCTCGGTTGAGGGTTTGGCAAGAAGACAGCGAAAGAAGACCTCCACACAGAAGCTTTGTGAAACTGAACTTGGTGGCATAGGCCTCCAAATCTTCACTGCTTGGGAGGTTAAGGCAGACAGACTCACTGGCCCAGTGCAAGTCATTGTTATTTTATAACCAAAGTATTTTTATTCTGGGGCTGACATTAAGAACAATAGTGCAAGCAATTCTTTATGCCAACAGAAAATACCTCACTCTGCAGACAAACACCCCAGCATGTAGACCACAACACCCTCTAAGAGAAAGACTACAGGACACCTCAGCACATTCCCTAGAGAGTTCTATTATCAATTCAAAGCTCTCCCTTCCCACAGGCCAAAGGCTGTTACTTCCTTCCTATAGACACATTAGGCTATCAACTGCCCCCTTCGTGCAGAATACCCCTCCAACCTATTCCCCCTGCTGTATGTTTTGGATCATATCAGGCCAAGAGAAGAAATAAAATAACCTTACACTGCAAAGATCTTTGTCATTTACAAGCCACCCATGCATCCCTGATCTCATCTGAAGTGTATAGCAACCCAATGAGGTAACCCTTGCTATGGAGACAGGGCATGAAGGCACACACTATAGGCTCCTCCTTGCTATGGTCTGAATGTCTACCCCCACCCCAAAATATTGAAATAGATGTATTGGGACATGTGGCCTTTAGGAAATTAGGCCGTGAGGGCAGAGCCCTCATAAGTGAGTTTATTGTCATTATAAAGGGGCCAGAACAAGCCAAGCACAGGGACACATGCCCTGTATACCTGGGAGGCCAAAGCAGAAAGATTTCTTTAGCCCATCAATTAAAAGAACATTCCGGGTAACTCGGCAAGACTTTCTCAAAACACATAAACAAGAATACAAGAATAAATAAGCCAGAGAAAGATCCTTTGCTCCTCCTACTATGGAAGGCCACACAATAACAAGAAGCTGCCTGTGAACTGGAAAAGTAAACCTTGAGACACTGAGTTTGCCAAATTTCCAAATCTGGGGTTTTCCGGCTTTTAGAAGTGTGAGAAGGAAATGTGTTTGTTCAGGAGCCACTCTGTTGATGGTCCATTGTTACACCAGCCTTTGCAGCCTCCAGCACTGCACTAACACAGCGGATATCACTGCCCATTTTATGAGTAAGAAAGGAGACCCAGAGGTTGGACAGCTGGTTGCTGGCAACTTACCTCCTGGGTATATAAAGTGAGCTGGGGAGGAAGCAAAACCCAGCACCAGATCCATACACTCTAGCTGTTGTTTAAAACTTTCCAGTGCTGCAGCTCCCTGATGGCTTAGCCATGCCGCCAGGAAGGCAGCCTCAAGTCCCCATTCTTCCTTGGCACACACTCCGTTCTCTCTAGACCCTCATCACTTGCACCATAAAAAGCAGACTCACTTTTTTATTTTATATTATTTTACCCCCACAACAAGATCCAGCTCTCTGACTAAAGACCCCATTTCAAGTACAATGCCTTATTTAATTGCTCCAGTGCACCCACCCCCGGCTATCTGCTGCCCAACTCCCAACTCCTACTGGGCAGGCAGACTCTGAAACCATACAGGAGACTGAGTCAAGAGGGAGAACAGGAGGGACATTCTCTCCTTGAACTTTCCTGAATGGGGGTGTGGAAAGAAAAGGCCCATTTTTCCAAGGAGGGGGCCGAGGCAATGAGCCTTCCATTAAGCAGACGCGCATAAGAATGTATAGATTATTTAATCCTGGGGGGTGGCTGCGGAGTGAAATAAAGGGGTCTTTGTACAATGCCCAACAGTTCACTCACTCTTCCCTCAGCCAGGCATTTCACCCGACTCTAAATCATCCAGCTCTAATGTACCCCATCTGTGCACCGACTGCAGCCAATGAAATCAAAGCCTGTGCTGACACTGGCCTGGACTTGCGTTTCCCTGCCCCAGAAGGAGCAGCTAGGAAGAAGTACACAAGCCAAGAAGCTGTTTGTTTGCTTGCTTGCTTGTCTCCTCTTCTCCCAAGACCGATCATTTACTGAGTTTTTGCCATGGGTCAAATTCTAATCTAAGTCAAACAGAACATAACAGAAGGACATGAAGGGCAGTCAAGGGGGGCTGCTCTCAGCAGAAGCTTGAGAGGCCCCCACCTCCACATCCATGGAAGGCTGCTTGTGTCTCCTGGCTAACTAAAACAAAGCAAGGGAGTGATGACCAAAGGAAGGCCTGTACACCTGACTAAATACAGCAATGATAACCTCGGAAGCCACTGCCATCTCTACAACTTCCATCCATCTGTTCAGTCCCAGCTCCAATAAAGAAATCCTTACTGAGCACTTGCAGGTAAAAACAGCTTCCTGGCTGGTGTAACATATGACTGTCCACTCCCTTAAGGAATCACAAGGGTGAATGGAATAGCTTTTTAGTGTCAGGTAGCAGTACACAAAAGTGTACTGGAGCCTTGACTTCTTCCTTGTGTTAAAGTGGTGCCTTTAGATGCCTCCCTAGGTAGAAACACTTATTTTGGAAATGTCTACAGAAAAAGGCTGTGGAAGGGAGACAGCGCCAACTCAAATACAAGTTTTTGGCTCACATTCCATGCCAGAGACTGGCTTGTTCTCCCATGGACATGGCCTCCCACGTCCAAATTTCCAGTCAAGGGTTTACCCCAAAACTCAAAAAAGAGATCTGCAACAAGCTATAGTAGATAGCTAAAGGCTTGCTTAAGTGTCAATAACAAGGATCAGGAATGCAGAAGAGAGTGGACCAGGTGAAGATTTATCCAGGGCCCTGGAGGACTACGGTGTCAAGCTTGTAGGTTACTAAGCAGGGCCTCATCTCATAATCTACGACCATGGACTTAATCTGGGCAGCCTTCAGCCAGCTGAAGAATGTTCTGTAATTGCTGGCTGGAGCTGTGACCAAACAAAGAAAGCAAGAGTATCTTTGCCGGTTCTTATAGTTAGGGATCACTAATTTTTATTTCCCCTTTAGTCTGGGTCTGCATAAGTATCTGTTAGTCCCTTAATTGTGTGGAGGCTAGCTTCTCAGGAAAGATGCTATTAAGGGGGAAATTCTCCCATGATCCTTTTCTCTTTGTCATCTAGCCTAGTAAAACCTGTTTCTCCTCCCCTGGGAATCCAGGGCTGGGAGGGAGACAGCTCCCCTGAGAAGTATTCAGTTCCTGTATTACACAATCGAGAACCTGGGTTTGTTCATTGTAACCCCCAGCCCCAGCTTCAGAAGCAGCTATCAAGGCACCTCTGGGAAAAGGGGACTCATTCTTCAGCTATGATCAGATGTTACCCTGTGCCGCTTCGTGTGTAAAGGCCCCTACAGGTCAGTGGCTCAGCTTTTCAGCAGGCCACTTTTGTTTCTCCCTCCCCAAAGGCAAAGTTTTCATAATGCTACAATACAGCCTCACAGCTGTCCTTGGGGCTTGGCAGGGGCTCTCCCTTCTCAGCTAACTACAGTGGGGATAGAGTGGGGCTCTGCGGTAAAGTTCTTGTCTAACATGCAGAGGCCCCGATGGACTACAGAACTGTGAGCTGCCAGACCCCAAAGCCTCCAACAAGGTTGACATCTAATTTCCAATATAAACTGAACCACTACTCTGTCCCTGCAAATCAGAGTTAATTCTCAGTTGTGTGGACAGCCCGTGGGTCAGCCCTGCCCTTATAAAACACAGCATGCAAATACCCCAGACTGTATGAGAGCATGCAAGTCTGTGACCACAGGAACAGGAAATGCCCTGTCCTAACTGGGAGGCAAGAAAGGCCTTCTACAAAAGCAATACCTTGGAAATGAGTTCATCGTGATTGGCCAAGTGTGCTCTGCAGTGAATGCAGCTGTAGGTCCGGTGGCATGAGGGCAGGTATGCCTGAAAAGTCTTGGATCTTGTCATCTTCACCATGGGTGCAGCGGAGCGTGGGGTGAACTCTGGGGCAGCCCACGAGGCACTCCCACAGGATGGGTCGCACGGGAAACACCGAAAGACACAGGTAAAGGCCGTGGTTTAGCAGGGGGTGGGTGTGCGGCAGGCTCCACACACTGGTGACGTCTTCAGAGGAAGGACTCTCTAGCAGAGGTCTACAGCCAGGTTTCAGCAGCCTGCAGCAGCAAAGGGAAACACCATCAGCAGATGGAACAAAGCTTCCTACAAGATGAGTGCATGTGCAGCCCTGAGAGCAAACAGCAGCAGACACTGGCCGCGGAAGAGCCTCTTCTCTGTTCCCTCACACTGCACCCCCTCCGGTCTTGCTGGCTTTGTTAGGCAGTTGGAGATTCAGTATTAACCCAGTAATTAAGAGTTACACAGGTGCCTAGCGAACTGGCATCACCACCATCCCTGGACACACAGGACTGAAGATGGGCTATCTGGAGCCCCAGGGAGGCCCTCCTAGGAGTCCTCACCCCCAGACTTGGCAGCTATTTACCGCATCTAACAGTCCTGCTTGTATCTCATCCATTTTCAGATACCAGGAGCATGTCAATGCTTGAGGACACCACCTGCAGAGGTGCAAACACACAACAGCAAACCACACAACAGCCTCTAGTGAAATAAGTGAAGGAAAGACATTCAGTAAAGTCCCGAAGGGCGGTAGCCAGCTTGTCTTCGAGAAGTGATTCCCTTGCAACACCTTACTCTGACAAGATGCCCAGAAAAACCATGAATGTCACAATTTCTTCCCAGTTCTCACATCTCCTATTACTTCCTGTAGAAGACTCCTAGCCTCGGCCTTCTTATTGTCCTGGGAACACGGGACACTAAGGATGGGGGAGAGGAATGGGGCTCCCACTGGAACCACATGAATGAATGAATGAATGAATGAATGAATGAATGACTCTAAAGTTTTGCCCCCCTGCAGCTCTGGCACCTGTCTATTCCCTGGACTTTACTAATAGGGGAGGCATTCCCATCTGCCTACCTTCCCAGGAGAGCCACGAGTGTTAATTAACACCTGCATCATGCTTTGAAGATTAAATTATTTAGAGACATGGAAGACAGAGACAAATAAAATGGGCTCTCTCTTGATGTACTATCTGGGATCCATCTGTCAGATCATAGAGTTCTTTTTCCTCTAAATCCACTAAATAGAGCTAAGTCTCTCATGAGAGGCTGCCCCTGCCCACCTGCCTTTCCTTCTTCCCACCACAGCCATCACATTTGGGCTCTATACCTTTCTTCTGATCAGACACAGCCACTGCCCAGCACTATAATGGAGACCAGGGTGGTCACTACCCTTTATCCAACAGTGAACAACTCTTCACAAAATCCTTGAGCCACATGACCTCCATGCCCAACACACCTCTTGTGTGATCTGTCAGATTTCTGAAGGGATTCAGATTCAGACCCATATGGGCCAGGGTCCCTGCTCAATCTCACACAAGTCCTAGATGAGGGACTGGGTTACACGGACAATACAGTAATTATTGGCAGTAGACAGAGGTAGGAAAGGATACCCTAGACAATGCTTCGGGCTTAGCCACAACAGATACAGGGACGCTGGGATCCCAAGGCAGCCTGTGGGAGTAAAGGCTGACAGGGCTAAGTTACTATTCCCCCGCCTTTCCATTGGGTTTCCTGCCATATCCTCAATATTTCCAATATTCTTGTTCCGCTGTTAGCAAGAACAAAAATTCCAGAAGAGGCAGAGGAAAGTGGAGGCAGTAACTAGTCCCAGTTCATGCTAAGTGCCTGTCTTATTAGCAGGATGGGAACATGGGGGTTCTTTTGTTTGGTCTGGGTTATGTTTTTGTTTTGTTTTTCATAGCCTAGGCAGGCCTGGAACCTCTTGCCTCAGTTCCCTAGAGCTTGAGTAAAAGCATGCACCTCCATGCCCAGCTGTCTAAGCCAAACATTTCAAGTCCACAGCCTTGGCTGCTCAGGAGCCAGGATGAGCAGCATAAACCCCTGGGTCTTACACAAACACCAAGGAAAAAGGAAAACAATGGCCCTGGCAGCCTCTCTGCTTTACAGAGGCCACAGAGTTTTCTTATACACGCAGACATCTTCTCAACTATGCATTTCCCTGGAGTAGAATTATTTCTTTTCTCACTTCTCTGTAGGAAGCCTAAAAAAAGTACACAGGCAGAGGTTCCTGGTTATTCCCTGAATCCAAAAACACAAATCCACAGCTCCTTCTACAGAGGAAGCAATTTGCTGCATGCATTAAATGTTGAATATGGACAGGCAGTGTTGGTGCATGCCTTTAGCCCCAACACTCGGGAGGCAGAGCCAGATGGATCTCCGAGTTCAAGGCCAGTCTGGCCTACACAGAGTTTCAGGACTGGCTCCATAACTACTAGGAAACTCTATCTTCAAAAAGAGAAAAAAGAAAAAGAAAAAAAATGAGTTGGTCACAAACATGGACCCATGCAATATACCTCACCATGACTCTGAACTACTATATAAGTATTGGGGCCCAGGCTGCATGGTGCTGGAAAGCCCTGCAAAGGACTGGCCATGGACATTTGCCTTATATATGTCAGAATCATTGTTCTCTTGGTGGGAATATTTCTTTGCATTTCTGGAACTCACTCTGTAGACCAGGGTGGCCTTGAACTCACTGAGATCTGCCTGGCTCTGCCTCCCAAGTGCTGGGATTAAAGGCGTGTACTGCCACCACCCGGCAATGGGGGATATTCTGAGACTGTCTCACTGTGTGACCCTGGCTGATCTGGGATATGTAAACCAGGCTGGCCTTGAACCTTGAACTCAGGGATACAAAAGCCTTTGCACAACTATCATGTCTTACATTATTGCAATTAGTAATTTCACAAGCATCCTAGAGAAGGAACTTCTCCTGGGGTGGGGGGCAAGACAGACAGAAAGAAAGTATTAGAAATGTTACCATGCTCAGCTGGTTCAGGACAAGCAAAGACCTAGAAGAAAAATCAGAGCAAGAATGGCAGTGAACAAGAGGACGGGAGAGATGGTGCGGTGGTTAGGAGCAGTACTGCTCTGGTTGAGCACCCTCATCAGCCGGCTCCCAGAAGCCTGGGAGGATCCCATGCCTCTGAACTGTGCTGCACTCGCACCCACATGCACTCGCACACACACATTTTCACACCCACATGCACAAGCACACACACATTTTCACACCCACATGCACGAGCACACACAAAGAATTATGAAACAGTGGCAAGAGGCATCCTGTACCTAATAAGAGAGAATACAGGCCAAATAGTTAAGAAAACAGAGATGAGCACCAGGCCCTTAAAAATAAAAACCTCCCTCCCCTCTCTCAATCCCCCCTTCTCTCTCAGCTGTGGCCCAGCTAGTCTAATGGCTGTCTACCTGCATATGCCTCAATCCTGAAGGAGTCTCTGGTGCCGGGGGACTTGCCAGTGAGAGCAAGCAGGCAAGGAGCAAAGCTTCCTTTTCCCATACCCTACCTCAAAGATCCAGAATAAATAAAGTAGGTCTTCCTATTTTGAATGAATTATGAAAAAATCCCTCTCTGGGTGGTGGTGGTGCATGCCTTTGATCCTAGCACTGGGTTGGGGCGGGGGATGCATGTGTGTGGATATATAATTGTGAGTACAGGGTCAACCTGGTCTACAGAGAAAAGGGAGTTCTAGAATATCCAAGACTAAGTGAGATCCTGTCTGGGAAAACCAAACAAGTAATAAAGGAAAAATCCCTCGCAGGTATACCTAGTCACTTGGGTTTTAGTTAATTCCAAATATAGTCAAGTTGACAACCAAGAATAGCCATCACACCATTTAAACATCTTTTTAAATTGCTTGATTTAAGTCTCAATAAAGAAAATGCACTGATTTTCTAGAGAGAAATGAATTAGGTATACAAGGCCACGGTACTTGGCACATTTTAATTTCTGAACTTTGGTCCCTGCTAATCATGCCAGTGTGCAGGGAATACAAGAGTCCAACTTGTTGAGCATTTGTGTCCAATTGATTTCCAACAATAATCAAAAGCCTCGGGGCTTGTGTACAATTAAATAGCATTTTTAGGTGAAGGAATAATCCAGTGGAAATTAAAGGAAGACTTTCTACCACCAGTAGCTGGCTCATGGTGGGTGACCAGTATGGAAAGAAAAATGTGAAATATTATGATTAAAAACAAAGGTCTCAGATATACCATCTAGAGAGTCAAAGGCATAGCGAAAACACACTGAGCCTCACAGGGGCCTTCCTGATAGACAGGCCATTGTCACTGTGAGTCACAGTAGCTGCTGAAATTCAAGACTGTACCTCCCCAGGTATCACTGGGAGGGCAGAGTGGCGTGTACCTGAGAGGTAGCCTGGAAGCCAGGCAGCATCCTAAGACAGCTGCAGAACTGGCCCATGGTGGAGCTGCCACAGGAAAGAGGGCTGTCCCTAACATGGGCCTGTGTTTAAGTGTAGACAGACGGTAACAGAAGTGGCTCCAAAATCTTCACAAATGAGTTCTATGCCTTCCTAGCTGGGTGACATCTGGCAAGTTCCTCAACATACTGTCCCTTGCCTCCCCTTTCCAAATAACACAAGGCAACTAAGAGTCAAGTGAGATGACCCAGCTTTGGTGATGCTGCTTTGGACAGGACAACTTGAACCTTTTGTGTGGTTCTAACACAGCACACTCATATTTCCCCTTCCAGTTCTGTCACAGTACGACTTCATCCTGTCCCTTCACCAAGCCCTCACTTGTCCATTCAGACTTAAGCCAACCAAGATATGTGTGGTGGTACTGTAAAACTTGACATTTGGGAACCCAAGGGAGGAAGATGCCATGAGTTTTGAGGACAGCTCTGGTTGCATAGTGCAAAAAAAAAAAAAAAAAAAAAAAAAAAAAAAACACAGGACCTGGAAGCAGGTATACTTGGGTTCAGTCTAGATTCCTCTCACTAGTTAGTTAGGTGCATTAACAACTGGGCAAACTGCCTGAAAGGAGACAACAGAGCCTTCACCCTAAAGATGACTCAAATGATAGAGTGAGAGACATTCTAACATACATTCTAACATAGCAGATGGTACATGGCTCTCAACTGCCCTGGTTAACTACCCTCATTCTTACCAACAAGCGGGAGAGGGCACAAGGGTTCCTACTCCCAAGATAAAAGGTACAAGTGTTCCTGTGCTCCTGGCTGATTCATGGAGGTTAGGAG